TAGACTAAACAGGGGCAATTGAAATTTCAGAAGGAAAATAGAGAAAATAAGATGAAGAAATAATAGGCTAGGAGTTTTCTGATTCTAAGATATTAGCTTAATAAATATAGAAAGCTTAACAGATCCCAAGAAAGATATATATAAGTGAAACCACACCCAAGTACATTTTAATTAAACTTAAGAAAATGAAACCTAAAGGGAAATTGTAAAAGCAGTCAGAAGAAAAAATGCATTACAACAAGAATTAATGGTGGTCTCCTCATAAGAAACAATGGAATAAAACCATTGAAGTGCTGTAAGAAAATAGCTATCCAGGTGGAGAAAGACAAATACCATATGATTTCACTTACTTGTGGACTATAAAAACAAAAAAGAGCCAGTAGACTCAGAGACACTGAGAAGTGACTGGTTGTTACCATGAGGGAGGGGCTAGGGTGGATAGGTGAGAAGAGTGAGGGGGATAAAGGGGCACAAAAATTCTCTGTCATAATACAAGTTGTTACAAGGATGGCACAGTACACATGAAGAATATAGTTAATGATTCTGTAACATCTTCCTATGTTGACAGTAACTGCCCTAGTGGGATGAGGATTTAATAATATGGGTAACTGTTGAATCACTGTGTTGTATACTTGAAGTCAATATAAGAGTATATATCAACTATAATTCAATTTTAAAAAATAGAAAAACAGAATAAAATCAAAAGCTCGTTCTTTGAGATCAGTAAAACGGATGTTGAAATAAAAGTTTAAAAATTAATACCATTTACAATAGTATCAAAATATGAAATGTTGAGATTACTCTGATAAAAGATGTGTAATAATGAAAAATATTAAACTTTGATGAAAAAAAGATTATCTGAATAAATGGAAAAAAATTTTTTAAGAAAAGTGCTATCAACCTAGATTTCAATACCCAGGAAGAATATTACTCATAAATGAATGCCTATTAAGGACTTTTCTAGAAAAGAAAAAAACATAATTAGTCACTAGCAAATTTACACTATGAGAGATTCTACAGGGGGTTCATCACTCTGAAAGAAAATGATCTCAGATGACAGCTTGGATCTGCAGGAAGAAATGAAAACACCAGGAGGAATAAATATAGGGTAGGATATATTTATTAATGTACATATATGTTAGTAAGAGACTAATATTTTTAATATTTAAAAAAAGACAAACAATTACTGGCATGAGATTTATAGACGTAAAATACAAATAGCATAAAGACTGATAGACTAAATGGAATAATACTGTTATAATGTTATAATGTGCTTAAGGTTTATGAGGTGGAAAGTCCTAATTCAAGTTATACTGTAATAAAGTTGTGTATTATAATCTGTAGATTAACCATAAAAAGTATAAAGATGTATAGCTAAAAATTAAGCCATCAAGGCACATAAAATAGAATAGTAAAAATATTTGATTACTCCAAGAGCATAGAAAGGAAGGAAGGAACAAAATAGATACAATAAAATAGCAAGATGGCAGACTTAAACACAGACATATCAGTAATTGTATTAAATATGAATTGTCTAAGCATTAAAAATCAAGGATTCTCAGATGGACAATTTAGCAGTAAATATATTCACATTGATTTTATATTTGAGAGATTGATTTGCTTTACAGTTGTATATTCTGAAGTTCATTTTGAGGTATTCTAACATAAAAATGCCACATGATTGATTGGACATTTTAACTATATCCCTGCACAATTAATACATTTAGCAAACAAATATTTAGGTTAGAATAAGTACAAATAACTGTATTTTCATTTTACTTAATGTTTCCCAGAAAATAAGTGTATTAGTTAACATTCTACAGAGAAACAGAACCAATAGGATATGTATTTACAGTTGACCCTTGAACAACATGGTGGGAGAGGGACCCTGGTCCCTGCACAGTGAAGACCCATGTAGAACTTTTGGCTCCCCAGAAACTTAGCTACTTCTAGCCTACTGTTGCTGAAGCCTTACCAATAACAAAAACAGTCTATTAACACACATATTTTGTATGTTACATGTAATATATATTGTATTTCTTAAACTAAGCTAGAAAAAATAAAATGTTTTTTCAAATTCTCTTGAATCTCTAAAAGTTCTCCAATATATTTGCTGAAAAAGTCTGCAAGTAAGTGGACCTACATAGTTCAAACCTATGTTGTTCAAGGGTCAACTGTAGATAGATTTATTTTAAGGAATATGTTCACACAGTTGTAGAGGTTGGCAGGTCAAAAATCTGTAGTTGGCAGGCTGGAGACGTAGGGAAGAGTTACAGTTCAATATGAAAGCAGTCTGTTGACAAATTTTCCCCTTTCAGGAGATGTCTGTCTTTTCTTTTTGTTAAGGCCTTCAATTGATTAGATGAAGCCCACTCATATTGTGGGAGAGCAGTCTACTCAAAGTCTACTAATCCCATTCAAAAATCTTTATAGAAACATCTGGAATGCTTGGCCAGATATCTGGGTACTGTGGCCTAGCGAAATTGACACATAAAAATAACCAGCACATGGGCATAGAAGCCACAGGGCATAAATTTGCAAAGAAGTAAAAAGCTAACCTTTTCAAACAATATGGCTTCTCTCTCACTTACCAACTTTACATCTCCCTGTATGGCCCCGGAAGATGACTGGTTAGCCAGAGAGGGGTAAGATTCCTCAAGGGAGGAACAACCTAAGACAGGCACAGTTGCATGGGGGCCATCAGGTGAGAAATTGGGCAACAACAGTGGTGAAGCTTAGAACCTCACCCCCCTCTGTTTTGAGAGAAAGCTTCTGCATCCGTGGATGTTTTATTGCCCTTGTCTAGCCCGGATTAGTACATAGTCTACAGGCACACACCTGATCATTTACAATTGCTCTTTTACAACACTAAACTATGTTTTCTACCTTTATCTTGCATCTACCTACCACTTCAGCATTTTATTAAAAACAAAAATAATAATAATAATAAAGGGAGAAATGTGGGATCCACATATAAATCAAAAAAAAAAATAACCAGCACAGCAAAATTTCACTTACGTTTTACCTTAATAAAAGTAAAATAACATGCAAATATAGGCTTTTTAGATAGAATTTACTTCAAATAGGAAGCTACTTTGGGACATTTTTCCTTAAGCTTATTCCTTTCTGTATATTTTGTACTGAAAGCTTGAACAAACATATATGATTGTATTTTCAAATGATATTATTTCAAAAGGCAATATAAATTTAAAACTAAGATTATGTCTGGATCCACTTTTAAAAATTCTAGTTTTCAACACATTTTTATCCTGAAATTGAAACTGTAAAATATGTATTTTTTTCTTTGTAATTTTATAAGCTGAGGATGTAGAGTTGGGGTTTTTTTAGTTTTTTATTTTCATCATTTTGAACTTACTTTCTAATTGGATAAGAACTTTAGAATCAGTAATCACCATAGGTCAACTTTATAGCAGTCAGATTATAATAGTGAGAACACACATGTTAGATGTTGCTAATTCCTGAACCCTTTTTATGACTACTCTTATTTAAAAGCCAGTGTGCCGTGCCATACTGCTCTCAGTGGTAACAGCTAGACAGAGTTGTGAGAGAGTGGGGGCTGGAAAGGTGGGGATTTTACCATATTTTCTGTATATTTAAGTATTATTAAAATCTTATTTACAGTAAGAATTGGCACTATTTGAAAATTTTCTAATATGATTACTTGGGGTTTTTTTTAAGTTGATATTAATGAATAAAAATGTATCTATCAGAATTACTTTGAAGAGTTTATTACATTTAAGACAAAACTTAATTTTCTCTGTAGTATTTCTTCATAAAAGGACTTCTCTGTACTAGACTTTTGAAGTCAGAAATCATAATTTGTCCTTTATAATTTATCTTTTATCACTGAGTACCCAATAGCCACTCAATAACACTAGTTGATTGGATAAAGGTATATAGTGCTATATACTCCACTGGCTAACTGGCTAACAATACTGTTGAGAGAATTTTTTTTAATAAAACAAAAATGTGGGTTTTTTTAAACTCACATTTCACAGTGCTTTGTTCATTTTGAAGATATTCCTGCAAAATGAAAAACGGTGATTGTTTTTTGTGTCTATCTCCTTACAATACTTAAAGAAAGATGAGTAAAATGCTTATAAATGAAAGGAACTAGTGTTTCGTTTCACCTAGGAATTTTGCTAATTGCTCCTAACAGTACATTGCAGTTCTTAATTCTAACCCACCCTGTATGTGATAGCATTTACCATTATTTGAACAAACTATCCTATTATCCTAATTCACATGTTAGTTTGCTGATGAACAGCGATGGTAAAGTAAATGAGACCCACACCTGTGTTCTTTTTTAACTTGAGCTAGACTTTTAACCATTAGCTTTAAGGATGAGATACAATGTGTTACATCCTTAAAAGCAGTTTACTACAAAGAAATGCATAGAGGACACTGGGAGCAAAAAAGATAAATCCACATGTGATAAAAGGATTCTTCTCAAGCTTAGCAATCAATGCTATCATTTTAAAGGAAAGAATTAGGGGAACTTTTCAGACACACTCTGTGGTGATTGAATAAATAGCAGAATATGTCAAAATAGGAGACCAGATGATCAAAGAGAAATTCAAGTAGATTTATTCATTCTTTTTGGGAAAATAAGTTCTTTCATAGCCTTTCTGATATCTTCATGAACACTTGATGACCTCAAGTCAAAAAACTTGAAGAAATTCAGCAGAGTGGAGTTGATAGTAAAATTTTTGAACTGAGAGCAGGATATGAACACATCTTGTGCTATTACTAAATGCCACATGAATGGTAAAATTGGCCTAGCTAACCATTAGTCAGGTCACTTAGCCAAACACTCCAACTATTTCTGACGGAAGAATTCATGATATAACTTAAAAGGATCCTGTCATCCAAGTGAGGCTTTTTCTTGTGAGCTGTTGGAGTCATGTCTTACCGATGTAAATTTTTCCAAAATAAAATGGATAGGTATAATAAATATTCACAGTCTTTTCTTTTCATAGGGATTGTCAGCAAAGAAAGAAAGCCTTGTAACCATCACATAGATACAGCACCAACGGTAAGGCAGTCTATTTCAACATTGTTAAAACTAATAAGCTACAAAATGATGCTGGTTATAGTGACACAAAATGCCATTGTAGAAAACTTTTATAACCTCCCCTTTGCCAAAAGATATATGCCTTCAAGAAAATTAAGTTTACGTTTTCTAATTAATGAAGAAAATGTACTAGTTTTTACCAAGATATAGGAAAATAAGATATGGTATCATTTTTACAGGTACTTGTTTATATTAATGTAATAAATAATATTTTTTAATTTAAAAATACTTTATACTTTTGATAAAGTAAGTCTTATGCAAATTGATTTACACCCTTTTAAAAAAATGTTATTTTGTGCATTGCATTATTATTTAGAGTGAATATTTTGTAGTAGTAAAAGAGGACCATTATGTTTCATTTTTCCTATGGATTACTATTTAATTATGATAAAAGTGAAATCTTTTGTCCCTCTCCTATTTCTACCAGACAAAAGGCTTTTAATAATTACAGTAGCTATTCACTACATTAAAAGTAATTATAAAAGATAATATAGGAAGACAAACTTTCCTTTTAATCTTGAATATATTTGTATAAAATATGTATCAGTTGCTAGTTACCACTTAATTCATAAGATGATACAGACTAGAATATATCGTACTCTTCATTAAGCATGATCTGTGGTATCTGTGTTTGCATTTTTGTTTTTTTTAACTTTCTGGAACTCAGAAAAGTGCAACCTGGCAGAGTTGGTATAAATAATGTATTAATATTTATGGTATTTGCCCTAATTTCAAAATGACTCTAATGAATTAGGAATAATACCCAGTACATAATAGTTTAGGTATTGTTGACCTTTTGATTATGTTTTTCCAGTTGTATTATTAAATGATAGTTCCTAATGTCTTAATAACATCTTGACGCTGTGCAGTCAGTAAGTTTTAGTACACTTGGTTTATTATACAAGCACTCCCTAAACACCCCTTAGTTCCCTACGTTTTGACTTGAGCCTCTTCCTTTTTGATGTGTTTTCCTGAGCTCTTTTCCTATCTTGATTATAAACTACTGCCTCATCTCCCATAGTCCCCCAGCTGACAGTTAACTTTGTGGCCCTTTCTCTGTAACTTCTAAGTGGGAGCATAAGTCTGTTCATTACCCAGGGACCTCTAGTCCCCAGGACAGGTAAAGTCTGATTTTTACAGAAATATAATTTTGCCTAATTTCCCTCCTGTACTTAAGTTCCCTTATTTTCCTTAAAAGGTTTAAGAGAAGAAAATATTTAGAGATAAAAGAAATAGGAAGAAGTCTGTCTAAAAATTTAACGAAGTGGAATATTTTTAAGTTCACACTTTGTAAACTGTACTGGCTCAAAGAGGAGGCATACTCCGGGGTCTTAAGAATAAATTAGAGAAGGAATGGACCAGAATTTCAGAATGGCTGAAGCTGGGGTTCTGAATAACTTTCTGACCTCATACCTAACCACCAGTTTCCAGGACACCTTCTCTACACATTATCACTCCCCCCTCCCTAATGGGTTGGGTCTTGGAGAGTGCGAGATCCCAGTTACAATTGTTCACCAGGTGAAAGAAATGAGATTTCTCCAAGCTTCTATAACAGGGAAAGATGCATTTCTTGACATTCCAATTTGGAATGGACTTTTCAGTAAAGATAAGGTGACAGAAGATAGTTTGATTCTATAGCAACATAATGTGATGCCGTGTTCTTGAAATACAGTTTAGCCTGAGAATCTAGTTTTCATTTCTTTTCTTCTCTTTCACTTATTATATTAACTTTAATTTTTTTGTTTGGGATTCTTTTCTTTCTGACATAAATAATACCATATGTGTTTTTGAGATGACTTTGATAGGAAGTAAAATAGAATATTCACACATGGCATAACCTCTCCATCAAAAAAAGTCAAACCTCTCTTTTCAAGTGGCTATAATCCCTATTCTTTTTCTATTTGCATTTTGAGCTATTAATTTATATTCAAGAAATATAAATTGAAAGGTATATTATCTGAGTCTACATATTTTAAAATATCAGCTATCTTTACAGGAGATTTACCAGGGTTTTTAATTATTTGGACACAACCTCTCCTCCAAACATGAAAATTTATCATCTTTTGCCTTCTGGCATTTAGTATTTCAGGAGAGATATTGGACATCAGCCTGATAGTTATTCTTTTGTATAGATAACTTGTTTTACCTGCTCTTATATAGATTTTTCTTTTCTTTTCTTTATACCTAATGCCCTGGTTCATTTATGATGGTTCAGTGTATGGCTTTCTTTTCACTGATTTTTATCGTGAACAGTATTCACTCAGACACTATTATAGGAATAGCAAGACAATTATTAGACAATCATGATATTAGATATATGACAATAATTAGATCATACCACTTTAAGAACTAGGTGCTGCCCCTGTTTATAGCCTGCAGCAAACTAAGGATAATATGAGACCCAGATTGATCTAAGACCATTGTGTGAGCCCTGAAAGGCAGGTGTAAAAGTTAGTTAATAGTTAAGTCAGCACAGGCCTAAATCCCATATTTACTTTAAATGAAGGTCATATTTGGAAATCAAAAAGAAACAGCAGCTAGCGTAAGGAAATCTTCCCCGCACAAGTTTGGTCTTTTCTTATTTGAGGTTACTACATGAGGAATGTAGTTAAAACAACTCTTCCCTTTAATGTATGATCATATGCACAGCAGTGCCCTTAGCTTTTCATATTTTGTGGTCGAATTAAAACATGGTAAGCCATGCCGAATACATAAAAATTTTTAGTGATTTTGGGTGAATTGTCTTTGAATCAGTAGAAATGGATAGAAAACTCAAATAACATTAATATGGCCTGTTGTTATTAATTGCTGATTGTTGTAAAGCTTCTACATTCCAAACCTGTAATTAATATTACTCCTTTCTTATTTTATTCAGTGATCCCACAAACCCCATTAATGAGAACAAATTTTCTTTTAACAAATGCGTTTTTTGGCAATTTATAAAATTACAGCTTGGATTTTCACAGAGGCCTACACACCTAGCAGGTTAAACAAAATTGGCCAGAACAGATTGAAACAAATTTCAGGTTGTCTCATCAGGATTACATCAGTTGTGGAACATTTTTGCCACTCATCTAAATATTGCATTAATATGAATTAAAATATCCTATCTTGATTGGAAATTTAAATGTTGATTCACTGTTCTTGTTGTAAGGCCAATTTAGCAAGCTATTCATTAATTCATTCTGCAGTTATACTCCTTCTAGACTTCTAATTGATAAATTTTTGTCAAATAATTTTCATCAATAATAAACTAATGTGTTTTATTTATTTAAACTAAGATGTTTGTGGTGTTGCCTGCCTTTGATGCTAAACTTCATAAATGTGTTGATCTGAATCATACAAATTAAATTTTATTTTGAGACTCTTTGGGATTATATGTATCTGTGTGTATGCTACAACATTTTGAGTTGTTTTGTTCTTAGATTGTTATCGTTGTTGAGTCTACTCTGTAGGAGCAATCACAAGATTGCTACATATTTCATTATTACACACTAGTATAATATACATTATATATTTATATAAAATGCCTCTCACATTTTCACATAATATTCAGAGCAGTTAATACTTCAAGTAAAATGTCTTCAATTCAAAGGGAGTACTTTATTTTCTCCAATCTATAGAATTTTCCAGGAATTCATAGTATGTAAAACTGGAGTGAGTGTGCCCCTATAAAACTCATAAAATAGAACCTGGGCCAATCCCTGTAGGTAATTGCAGGGTGGAGAGGGAACTGATAAACTATAAGTTTTTATAACTTGTCATAAAAGAATCTGCTTTCACTTACCAATAAAGTAGCAATTCAAAGCAGCTCTATTGAAATTCAAATATAAATGCAAAATGATTCTCCTTTAAGACCACCTGTGAGTCATCCATAAGGTAACATTTTTCTTAAGTAACTGCATATTAGTTTTTTTCTCCCGATTTTGTAAATTATGAAGCTTATGTTGATTTTTCCCATTAGCATACTATACTGGCATTTATGTTTTCTTAGACATTTTTCCCTTGATACTTTCTGCTGTGAGTTTCTTGAAGATAGCCAAGCTTTCTCCCACTCACCCATAAGCCTTTAAACATTTGGTCTCTCTGCCAGTAAAGTATACACTTTTTTGCCCAACTGGCAAAATCTTTAGATCTCAGTAAATGTCAGCTTTTCAAAGGATCTTTCTTCACCACTCTATCAAAAGTGGATACTCCCCACTTAGTGTTTATTACTGCACCTTGTTTTATCCTCCTTAATACTTACCCCAATTTGTCATTTTTTATTTAGATGTTTTCTTGTTTATCAACTGTCCTCCCCAACAGGCTTTAAGTTCTATGAAAGCAGTGACTATGTCTTACATGACCACTGTTCACAGACTGTCAGTAGATACTGCTTAGATAATTAAATGAAAATATGCTGAAACTATAGGGATAAATAGGAGCAGAGCCAAGCTGGGCTTGAGGTGTCCATATTCAAAAGGTTCGAAGAACCCTCACAGAAGATAAATAGAGGAGAAAGACATAAGAGATGAGGTATAGTGTAGCATCTGGGAAGCCAGGGAAGTATGGAAATGGAGGAAGTTTTGGTTCTATAATAGGTAACTAGAAATGTTTTGGGAAACTTAGGACAGGACCCTAGAAAGGAAGCTAGTTGATCACACTTGGAGTCATGGTGAATTGGAAGCAATACAGGGAACCTGTCATGGGAGGAGGATGGAAAATAGAACAGCAGTTAACTTAGCCCTGTGTATATGTTACTCACTTATTTCACAAAAGAAAGCATTTTTCCAAAAGGGCTGCCATGAAATGAACGTTTATATAGAATATGAAGTCTAAGACCTGGATTAGGTTTTTTTGTTTTCATAAAGTGGTCTCTGTTAAATTATTTCTAGGACTTGTATTTCAAAGATCTCACAGATGCTAGTGTGTAAGACTGTAGAAGATTAGGATTGATATGACAGCAATACTGGATATAAATG